CCAGCAAATAGTTTATTCTTACTCACCTCTTTTTGCCATGTGTGCATACACCACTTTGCATTTAATTGTTAGTTATTATTAAACTCTTGATGTCTTTCATAGTGTATCTTCAATCCTGCACACGCAGCCCCCCACCAGCTTGGTTCTTCCTGTTAAAAGGGAGCTTTTCCTTCCCACTGTTGCCAACTGCTTGCTTATGGGGGTCATCTGATTGTTGCTTTATACCTTACAATATAAAGCACCTTGAGGTGACTGTTGTCTGCTATTTAAATAAAATCAAACTGAAATAGTTTTGTGGCAATTTTTGTCATGTAAAGTCGACCATAAGATTTAGAGAATGAAAAGAAATCCTTGCATGCGAGGGAAAAGGCTGAAAAGCAGACCTGCATAGCTCTGGGTGACTCTGCAGTCTGCATGGGCTCAGGAACAGTGGTGGAAATGAACAAATGCTGCGTCTGAGAATGCAAATTAGAACTCTGCAATATAAGAAGAGAAATAAAACACATTAAGTTAGCTCAAGAAGAGCTGGAGCCTTCTCTAAGCATCTTATTTTAAGTAGGCTGATGTCGAAAACTGTCCTGTGGACTGTGAAAATTTGAAATAGTTTTTAGATATCACGGACACTGCTTCCTATGGACAATCAGGTTTTTTTTTTTTATCAGCTTGTAGTTTAAAAGCAAGCATTTGTGAGGCAGTAAGGAAATATAGGCAAAGATAAGGTAAAGGAAACATTTAATATGGAGTTAATACGAAATGATACATACAGGTTTTGTAGCAGCATATGCTATTATCCATCATCTTTCTCAAAGACGGCCAAAGCATGTTCTGCATGATGGACGGGACTCAAAGAACCCTGCTGCCCTCCTGAGAACATTTGGCACGTAAAATAAAGATGATCTTAGCGGTCTGAAAAACAGCAGCACAATCATAGAATAAATGAAGTACACAAAATACTCTTTTTTCAGAACTATGTCAATAGGTCCTGAGTTCCTACATGCTCCCAGAGAGCAGTTAAAAGAAAGTTTGATGGAAATAAAATGTGAACTATCAACATGTGTGACTTTGAAATGTTCAACTGGCATCCAAATCCATACGAGGATATGGAGTAATATATTATGGAAACAGGGATGTAATACAATGAGGAGAAAAGAAACCCAAACAGTGCTTCAGTTTATGGAGAAAGTCAGCTACTTTTTAATGACAACATAACATTTTTCCACCATTTAGACTACATCACAACAATAAACATCCTCTCAAATGTGGTTCCTGCTGACAACATCTTATCTGGAATGGGGCTGTGGTCTAAAGCCTGATGTCTAGGGAGTGGAGGGGAGGGGGAGCAGAAGATATCGAGGAGTACCTACATTAGACCTTGTCGGGTTAATTTGCAACACATACAAATAAAGAAACAGAGCCGAACAACTAGTATAAATAAATCACATGCCCTCCACTCACTCAGACAGGCATGTGACGAAAGAAAGATTGGGCAAGTTCTAGAGACATTTAGAGTGAATGCTGTGTGGCGTGTGTCTCACTTCTCATTCACCAGCGGACAGACCGATTGCTGTGTTTTGAAACATTACAGTGACTAATTAAATGTCTTGTGACCAACGGCGCACTCGTGAATTTTACAGGAAAGTGGGGAGCCGAAAGGAGATTTTTGGTTTAAAAACAAAAACAAAAACCGCTTGGGTAAATTAACTGCTGATTAAAAACTGAGTGATCTGGTCACAGATGAGTTCTCACGCCTGGCAGAACATCTGAGAAAAAAATACAGAATTCACAGTCCTCTCCCAGCTGTGTTGTTTATTCACAGGAAGCTGCTGAAAAGTGGTGAGACTTAAAGCTCCAAATGGAAGCATATTTCACTGTGTATAGACAGAAACATTAAATAAACACGAACTATCAAATAAACCGTGTAGTTTTCTCTAGAAGTTCATCGGACTTGAAACTCAATCACCGTAACAGGAACAAACAGCATAACACTCATCCAGTTGTCCAACAGATGCAACTTATCTGCTCCCCCAACGTTCAACATGTGTTTCAATTAAAACTGTCTAGGAAATCTCTATCTGTATCTTCCACTTGGAGCACATCCTGTGCTCCTCCTTCTGAGGTCACAGGCTACGTGCTGAAAAACAGGAAGTGTGTGATTGAGTTATTTGCAAGCTTATCCTGAGCGAGTCTGTATTAATGGCTACTGGGTTGATTAGTTCACATAGCAAACTTGTGGAAAAACAACTTTTCTTTTCTTTACAGCTTTTCCAATTTGTCATCTTGAATTTAAGGGAGAATCTCTGACCTCTTCAGAAAGGGATCTTTGCTGGATAAAAAGACGTGCAGCTGAGGGATCATTTGCATAGCCTGTGTGGGAGTAGTGTGACTTCTTCTGTTTTTACAGTACCGCATAAAAGTCTTGAGCTACCCTTCATTTCTTTATATTTTGCTATAGGAAAATTGGAAATGGGTGGAGCAGATAAAACATCTGCAAACACAAATAAACATACAGGATATAAAGCAAAAACACCATTTGTACAAGTCTAATGAGCTTAAAAGTCAGTATTTGGTATGACCACCTTTATTTTTCAACACAGCCTTTAATTGGTCTTCAGAAATAGGTGTGTTGGAGCCAATCAGATGCTTTCCAGATGATATTACATGGTAGATTAAAAATTGACAATATTTTCAGCGTTCATAATTGCATCAATTTCAACAAAATCCTGAAAAGCAGTCCAAACCATGACAGAGCCTCCACCGTGTAACAGGTGGCTGCAGACACCCACTGTTGTTGCTCTCTCCTGATCTCCTCTGTACATATTGATATTGATTTCAACCAAAAATTTCAACATTTTTCTTCCTGTTTCCCTTCCTTAAAAATACCTTCTTGGCTGCCATCCTTTCCATTGAGACCCTTTCTGATAAGGCTTTGGTAGATGGATCAGGTGAAGTGCATCCTCAAATTTTTTGAGGACGCACTGCAAGGCAAGTGACGTGCTTTTGTAACAAAGTGCCTAAAAATACAATTACAGTTGTTTCTTTGCTAAGTTGTCTGTTGTGTGTACATGCAACACTGATTCATCCCTTGAGTTATGTGTCTTTTTAAATGCTTGAATGACTCATAGGTCAGTGTTAAGTGGCTTAACAAAAAAAAAAAAAAAAAAACAGCTCTGAAAATGGTCATGTACAAAGACTCGGTGAGTCAGTGGTGTCCAAAATAAAACTTTGTAAGACCTTCAAAGCTAGGGATCGCTTTAAAATGAGAAATTAAAGAAAATCTAACTTTTTAGAAGCAAAATATAAAGAAGTGAGCAATGCCCTGTGCACTGTATTGCATATCTGTAGGTGTACGTATGCAACAGATGAGGTTTGTTTTTTTCTTTTTAAGAGAAGTGACCTACGGGTGAAAAAAACGAAAAAAATAAATAAAGGGAAGGGAAACCTTCCTGAGCGTCAGTGACTTATCTTGTGACGCCGGCTGTGCATTGTTTCAATTGTTGTTTATGAGGGATGAGCAAAAAAAAAAAAGTGACAAGGAGCTGAAATAGAGGATGTAAGCCTTGTGAAGATGACTGAGATCAGATTATTTGAAAAGCAACAGAAGAGCTGTTATGTCACTGCAGCATGACTGTTGCCGTGTCCTGTAATTGTTTCTGATTTGATTTTGTTATAAACTTAAAAGAAAAAAAGGCATAGCAGCGACTTCTGGATACAGAATTGTCTAAAAATGTGATCCACATTCTTTGGAGAGCAGAGACATGCGGCCTTGCATCACTTCTTATTTGTTATACTGCACATTAGAACATCAAACTTAGTTTAATCATTTAATGATGGACTTTAACCCCTGACGCCTGTTATATAGATTGAATTAAGACAAATAAAGCGTTCATATTTGTAAGAGAGGCTAGCATTATTAAGGACTGCACTCTAAACATACAGTGGTGTTCTTTAAGAGCTTTCAGCATGAACAGCAACAGCCAGAGGGTGGTTACTGTGTTCAATCAAAGCTGAAAGTTTGTACTGTGAATGTTGTGTTTATGTTCCCATCATCTGTGTGGAGGATTGGAAAATGAACTTCATCTATTACAGTCCTCCTTCTCATTACAGACACAGCAGTGGAGAAGAAATGCATTCACACGAATGGTGTTATGTATTCAAAACACGTTAAGAAATGAACCTGCTATAATCTATGTTACACATAAGAAAACATACCAGGATTACTTTTTATAGAAAAGGGTTGTTGTGGGGGAAGAACAGTCAACCAAAAGTGTGTTGAAGCAGCATATGGTGCTGTCTAATTGCATTTTAGGGACACATTATGCACGTTTTTTAAACAGCGTGGCTTCGTAGTACCAAT